CAGAAACTCTAAGGCCCAGATGGACGATCGATAACAACAAATAAAACTGTTTTTTTAGTTTTCTGGCTTTCAAGTGAATTAAAACTACGTCTACATTTTTGGGTGATTGATGAGTGTAAGAATGCTGCCACTCCTCAGCCTGTGCTTCGTGTGTGTGTGTAACCTCCGCCCAAACTCAGGTACAACCAGTCGAACTTATCACAACAAAACGAACATTCTTTGGTTTTGACTCATCGCCCATCACAGCAGCAAACACAGTGATCTTATTGAGCTCTGCTGTAGGCGGTGCTCGTGAATTTTAAGTATTAGACTGTAATTGTCCAAATAGTGTCTGTGGTTCACTTCATTAACCATGATGTTTGCTGCTCTTGCAGGTGCAGCTCTGTTATCAACACACAGCCTTCCTCTCTGTTTCCAACAACACCTGCAGTTAAAAAAAGAGTAAAAACAAACTGGTTGGTTCAGGTTGCAGCATTTTCATTGGTCGCTCTCTGTGGATCTGCCCTCACCTGTTCTGCACCTCCATAACAACCAGGTGAGAACAAACTGAAGGACCGATCGCTGTTGTTGCTGATCCAGCTGTGTGTGTGTCAACAGTACGAAGAATCCAGTGAGTACCTGATGTTACCTTAAACTTAGTTAAGTGACAGGTTTGCTGTCCTATCAGAACAAGAATGAGAATAAGCACAAATTATTTTTTCAAGTCAAGGAAAAGGAAAAGTTTCAGGTTTATAGAAAGATATTATTTGTAAATTAATGTTAATGTTGGATGTAAAAATACTCAACAAACCCCAGGAAGAGACTTTGGTGGCCTCAGTGTTTTCTCATATAAACACGTCTTTTATCGACATTTAACGTTTTACCTTTAATCACTTACTGCCCACATGTGCTGTGTCCGTGTGCCGTCAGTAACATTACTGATAATCAATAGTATATGTCTGCATTCCAAAATAAAAGTCTTTATGTTTTTCTTTCTGTCAGGATGAGCATGGAGGATCCAGATGATTCGTGCCCAGAAGAAATTCCTGGAGTTAAAGAAGCCTTGAAGAACAACGACACGGCTGGAGCAGCAAAAAGGATTAAAGAATATTTAGAAAAGCAAACCAATGTCTCGTTAAATATCGCCATCACAGGAGAAAGTGGTGCAGGTAAATCCACCTTTATTAATGCCTTCAGGGGGATAAAGAACAGAGACGAGGGAGCTGCTCCTACTGGTGTCACAGAAACGACGTCGGAGGTCACACCGTACCCCCATCCAGATAATCCCAACGTCACTTTATGGGATCTTCCTGGAATCGGAACCAAAGACTTCCCAGCAAGGAAATACCTGAAGCTTGTTGGGTTTGACAAGTATGACTTCTTCCTCATCATCTCAGACACTCGCTTCAGAGAAAATGACGTGAAACTCGCTCAGAAGATTAAGAAGATGAAGAAAAATTTCTACTTTGTTCGCTCAAAGATTGACAACGATATCCGAGCCGAGGAAAGTGTTTCCGACTCCAGCAAAGAGAAAACTCTAACAAAAATCAGAGACGACTGCGTTCAACGTGAGTGAGGTCGAGTTTTCAAAATCATTTAAATCTAGTTTTTAATCGTTTTTTATTTGTATGAATCTGATGGTGTTGACATATTTCCTCTGTGACGCAGGACTCAAAGACTTGGGCATCGAGTCTCCACGAGTCTTCCTAATGTCGAGTTTTCAGCTCCACAAGTACGACTTCTCTCTCTTACAAGAGACCTTAGAGACAGAGCTTCCCAAAGATAAGAGAGACACTCTGCTGTATGTCATGCCCAACGTCAACCCCGACGTCATCAGCAAGAAGAAAAAAGCCTTAAAGGTACACTTATACCTCTTGGCCACTCTGTCTGCAGCTGCTGCAGCTGTTCCCGTTCCTGGGCTTTCTGTTGCTGTTGATGTTGCTGTGCTCATTGGTGCTGTCACACATTTTGTACATGCGTTTGGTCTCGATGTCCAATCTCTGAAGAGACTCGCTATCAGAACAGCTGTGTCATACACTGAGCTGCGTGATGTCATCATTTCACCAGTGGCTGCGAAGGAAATTACTAAAGAGCTCTTCCTGAAGGTGTTCGCCCAACTTGGAGGAGCAGCTGGATTAATTGGAGCAGAGGAAGTATCCAGATTCATTCCGATAGTGGGAATCCCGGTAGCCATGAGCCTCTCCTTCGTCACAACCTACAGAGTTCTGAACTTTATCCTCAACCAGCTCGCTGAAGACGCTCAGAAGGTGTTAAATAAGGCTCTGGTCTGAGCGTGAAAGGAAAAGGCAATGAAACTCAGTGAAACTGGGATTTACACATGAAACTCAGTAAACCAGTCTCCTTGTACAGCTGGTCAGCTTCACACACTCAAACTTTTCTCATCATCACATACATACAGAAACAAACATCATCATATTATTCAGATATGAACTGTGTAAAGTGTAGAAGTCTGAGTCATTGTCATGTTTTTTCCTTTGTGTAAGTGCTTCCTCAGGACATCAGGAGATACGATGACCCACCTTCAACTAGTTGCGGCAGATGGCTGCACTTCCTGGGTCTCCTTCCTGTTAAAGGCAGTTTTTCCTTCCCTCTGTCACCAGGTCTTTCGTCATAGAGTGATGTCTGATTGTTGGGGTTTTCTCTGATTTGTAGGGACTTCACTGAACTTAATTTATCTGAGCTGTTTCTACCTTTACTCAAACATGTCTTGTTGTTTGAATAAATTGTGATGAAACTGGTTGTTTTGCTGTATTATATTTTCACATCATAGCTTCCAGCATCATAAACACTGAGTTAAACAGACTGTTTGATGTAATGTGAGAATCAGGGGTTGTTTTGATGTTTTTACTTGCTGTTGACTGTGGATTGTGATGAGTGTTCACTGCCCTCTGGTGGCCAAAGTGAGAAACTACAACACAAATAATAACAATATGAATTATATTACTTATCACCATCACACCTGTTTATTATTAATAAAATGTTATTGATAAATAAACATCAGTGTTAGTATGTAGGTCAGCCACTATATCATTTATAACTTACCTCAGCACTTCAGTCATCTGGTACTCTTCTACACCACCCAGAGGCTGTCTCCTCCTTCTTCAGCTTCCACCTGACTCCACCTTACAGTCTCCTGTCTGTTTCAGAGTGCACCTTCTGCATAAGACGTCGTCCACCTGTGTGCATGTACAGGGTGCAGGGTGGACGCAATATTAGATACCTTGACTCTGTGGTGTAGATTTACATTATGCACAAAACAGAATAAGGATTAATGGTGGAGAATACTAACGCATCTAGGAAATAACAGAACAGACTGCAGCCATCAGATGTATCCTGAGTCCTTCGATGACAGCCTAATCACCTGTAACAAAGACAGGAAGGATGAACTTGAACTGGCTGTGACGTCAGTGAAATGCATCGCATAGACACGAGGTGGCGCCATTTCACTACCAAACAGCAGCAGGAGAGGAAACAGGAGACGCACTGCAGTGAACATTCCCACAGAGAAATCTAAACACGGAGCACACGCTGATCAGTGATCAATCGTTTACTGGGTTGTGATCAGTTACAGGGATGGAAAATAATCACAGGTGATGTTGTGAATATCTGACTGACATTAATATCACAGGTCTGTCGGTAATCTCGGCCTCATCTGTTTGATTCGTATTATTATCTCCAGTTTTTTCCACCTGCTCTCTCTGTGAAGCTGAATCTTTGGATTTAAAACTCAGATGTGAAATTTGGCAGAACTGCAGTTTTATCTATAATCTACAAGTTGGCCAGATGGTGACTGAGTGATGATGATGCCCCTCATTGATCGTCTTCATCTTCCTCAGTTCCCTGAAGCTCTGCTCGTTGTTTACCCGTTGCCACGGTGAATCTGTCCTGTCACCTACATGCGTTTCTGTGAAACTGGAAACTCGGAGTTAAACGTTAGAGTTTGGTGAACTTGGTACTTTGTGGAGCAATCTCTGATTGTTGTCTCAGATATTATCCCGTAAATACAGAGAAATAAAGTTCAGCTTTGCTCTCAAACAGAAAACCTGCAGCTGACGTCTGACATCATCAGTTTCTGTTCAAAGTTAGAAAACAACAGAGATGGAGGCAAACTTCCTGCAAAAACCTCAAATGTTTTGAAGTTTATTTACTTATTAACTGTTATTTTGAATGAAATTTATTTTATTAAATAAAGTATAACATGTTATATTATGTAAAACTGTATTAAAAATACAGAAAGAAAGAAACTTGGATTCTTCTGGATGTTTGATTTGGTATCCAGTATTTATTTGTACATTTACCTGTTTTCCACTGATAATGCTGTTAATAAATAACTAATAAAAATCCCAGAAATGCTTTTTAGATTTCCTCTGTGTGGGATCATTGTTCTGTTGATTGTTTGGTCCCAGTTTGGTCCCAGTTTGGTCCCAGTTGTAGCTGTGGAACAGACGACCTCACAGATGAGTAAATACTACTTTGATGTACACAGGATTTATGACTCACAAATCATCAGGCCTGGTGCTGCAAACATCTGCACGCTGGTCTCGTCTGTCCAAAGAAAATCGTTCTTGCTGTGTTTGATAAAGGATGAATTTCATGATTCCCTGATATGTAAAAACCTCAGAATAGAGGAAAGGTGTACTTTATTTTTACTATTACTGTAACAAACCACTGTCACTGGTGTTACTGTAACAGTGCGGTGTATGGGGCACACGGATGACACACAATGCAAATATTGTGGGTTCTCCTTCCAAATCTAGGCCGGGTTTATTTAACTAATGTATCTCATAACTCTAAAGTTGTTGTTTGTTTGTTTTAAGGCAACAGATTAGCATTTTTAAATAAAGCCAGCAAATCAAATGTTACAGTTTCCCACAAAAAAGAGAAATCCTTCGTGTCAGACGTGACCTTTGCGGAGGCGGGTAAATCATGTAGGGAGAACGTCCCCACGCGGCTGGTGACGGCTTTGCTGATCAAACCATCAGATAAGGAAGCTCCGTGTGAGTGCGAAGATCAGAGGAGCTTTCTACAGTCAGCGAGCCCGAGAGAACGTGGCTTTGACTGCGCCTGCTGTGAGGTTTTGTTCTTTGTGGTGCCATCACCGTCTTCTTACCCACACAGAGCGAGGAGCTGTTAAAGAGCCGCCGCTCTGTCAGGAGTCAGAAAAACATCGGCTCAGGGAGAACGCTCTGCAAGGTATGCATGCTCTACACTTTACTGTCTCACTGCATTGTGATTTTAGTGTGTCTGTTTTCACTGTGCTGCATCTAAAGAAACGTTTGTTTAGATGCAACACAGAATTAATTTTAAAGTTTTAAAGAAATGATCAGACTTTAAAGGATAAAATGCCTTTCACAGATATTATTTCATATTTGGAGAACTGCCAGTTCTGCAAAAACATGAAACCCTGTTTGTTCCTAGTTTGCATTTTTAGAAAGGTGTTGTCTTTTCTTTACTGCCTTTCTCATTAATAACAGCCTCACTGAGGTTAGTGAGAACTGAAAGAGGTAAAGTGAGAGCAATATCAGCCTGTCACATTTGTTCCTCACGGCAGGTTTTTAAAGAAGTTCAAGTTCTTGTTTGTGTCTTTATCGCGGCGCTGCAGGGTCCATTTACTCAGAACTTAAATGTGTTTCCTCAAAGCTGTGAAAACAGCATCCATGTCCTGCCTCCTCATTCCAGAAACAGAACGATACATATCAGGTAATCACGTAATTAAGACGATCGTGGGGTCAAATACAGATTAATCTGACTGCTACCTGCTCCACATGCTAATACGAGCCTCGAAGGTTTACCCAGAATGCACTGTGATTTATCAGAAACAGATCAAACATCAGGACACTGATGTTGGTTTCTGCTCCTCTGTGTCACAGATATCAAACCGCTGCAGTTTATTTATACCGATGCTCACGGCCTGTCGGCGAAAACCGTCTGTAGCTCTCCAACACTTTAGTTTTTAAACAGAGCTTCAATGTGTTTCTCAGCTTTGAACATTTCATGTGAACATCTGATGGATTTGTGACATTGTTAAAAAATGCTGGAATTTTTTTTCAATGCTTAAATCTGAACCCACCGGCTGTGGATTTCAGGGCCTGGAACTCAGAAAACATCCACAGTATGAAAGTGAAGTGTAGCAATGTTTCATTAAAACAATAATAATAATGCTTCATTAAAAAAACAAGTTAATGTACCTAAAAAAAAAAAAAGATTCTGAGGCGTTCGGGTGGGAGGAGCCATGACCTTGTTTTTTTGTGTCATCTATCATAATTATAAGAAGCACGAATGCTGTGTGAGGAAAAAGCAAACGAGGACAAGTGACTGGAACATTAAGTTGTCCTGATGCTTCCTCCTCTCGTACAGATCCATCGCGCTCTGATTTCATGTGGAATAACTGACGCCTTCTCGCTCGCCCAAACTCTTTCCATCCCTCGTTTCTATCTGCTTTGATGGTTTTTCCACAACTGCTGTGACTCAAATCTCTAAACCCCAAACTCAACTTTCAAACCTCACCAATGCACCAAAACTGTCTTATTGGCAAACCACACATTAGGAGACACACACAGTCAGTCAGACTAATGACGGCGCTGCAGAGGCTTCATTGTTAACGCAGCTACAGAAACGTGTTACAGCAATTCTACAAACACGTGAAGTAAAAGCAGAGCTGGACCTCAGATTACAGACGAGTCACACCTGCAGCTAATTTACAGCCACTAATTAACCCAACATGCAAGTCTGTGGCCTGCAGGAGGAAACCAGTGCACCGGCACACTTAAATATTATTATTATCATGTCCATGTAAAGCTTCATGTGTTAAACATAGCATTTTAATTTGGTGGGAAGCGTGAAAAGGTGTGAAATATGTGAGCCGGCGTCCCAGTGACTGCTGGGCCCTGACCTCAGGACCCACAGGAGTCTCCTCAAATCAATGAATTAAAATTTAACAAAGAAACAACACATAATATTAATTATTAATGCTGCTTAAAAGTTTTTACTTTGAAGGTCAGCTCTCTCTGTTTCCTGCTGTTTTCATTATAAACAGCTGAACAATCAGAATTATTATCATGTTGGATTTTTTTTTAGTTAAATTTAAACAGATTTTTTTGATTTAGTTGCTTTATAAGTTTTAGTTTTCATTTCATGTAATTTCTGGGATTAATAATAATAATAATTATTATTATTATTGTTGTTGTTGTTGTTGTTGTTGTTGTTGTTGTTGTTGTTGTTGTTGTTGTTGTTGTTGTTGTTATGTGGGCTTATTTTTGTTACAGGCATGTTTAACTCAAACACTACTGTTGGTGGACAGAAACTAAAAATGAAACTTTTCCTGTTTAATTATCTGTATTTTAGCAGCTTTGTAATCACACGTTGTTCAAAGACACAATGAACGAGCTCATGTGGGAAACAGCTTCAAAGCCTGCAGACGGATCCTTGCACAGACCCACGTTCATGAATGCATCAAAAGTGAGACATTTAAATCTCACACTTTGCATGTCCTCTGCTTTTTATATGGGTTAGGACTGTCTGTACGCGCTGCCCTCCATCTTCCTCCCTTCATCCTCCTCTGCCTCTCACACTCTCCCACCCTCGCTGCTTTATATCAGCTCAGATCAGAAAAACTGTGAACAGTTCTGAGTCGTTGTGTTTAAGAAGTGACGTTTGAAGTCTTAGATGATTTAATTCTGCGAAAGGATTTCAAAGAAGGTCAAATGAGGTACTTTAATCTCATTAAGGTGACACACTGTCTGTAGGTCACGGCCCACGTGTGGCCCGTTTTGATCTCAAGTAAAAATGCTTTATTAAAAAAAAACTTCAAAATAAATTTTTTTTTACTAAAAATAGTTTAAAGATTTCTCCTGGAAAAAGCACAAAATTTAACAGCGAGGTGATAAAATCTAGATTCAGTGAATCTGAAACTGTTACATTTTATCCACACGTTTAGTTCATCACGTTAGTTCCTCTGATTCTCAACAATAACAATAATAAATCTGATCTTGTTTTTTATGTTAGTAATGATCCAAACGAGCTCTGAAACAGTTTTACAGCCACAGATGTGACGACCTCACGGCCACAAACTGAAATGAAGCATAAAAACTCTAAAATTGACCCAACAATTTCATTGTTCTCTGACAATGACAATAAATAAATAAATACTAAATACTAAACAGTTAAACTCAGCAGTAACAGCCAGTCTGTGAAGATTCTGACTGTTTGGATTTGACATCATTATATTTGGTTTGTCTGCATCTAGACCGATTTTAACTTCTCATCCGACAGCATAGTTTTATTGACAAATAAATAAATTAACGAGTGAATGAAATGTTATCCGGACTGGAGGTTAGAGCTCGCCGGTTTCTTCAGAAACCAGAATCTGATTCAGAGAATCTTCGTTTGTGTTTGAACAATGCAAAAAAAGTGCAGTTCTGCAGACACAAGCCTCTGCACTCCCTTTTTTTGTGATTTTCTCACTTCAGTTTGGCTCTTAGTGTTTGTTTTTTGACCTCATTACATCTGAGATGCCCTCTGATAACAATCGGATCATTTTCTAAGCGAAGCACAAAGCACGGCGTACCTGTGCAGGCGTCGCCTCGGGCTGAAAGTGGGTCATTCATAACCAGAGGAACAGCTGACACAGAACGATGGTTTATTTTCTGAAACCACCAGAAAAGGTGTGAGGAGGCTCAACCCCCGGTGTGTGCAGGGTGCACGCTGTGCTGGATTGATTTGTATTGTTGGTGCTGAACTCTTCATATCTTCTTTCATCAGACAGCACAGTGGTCTGTCAGAGGTCAAACCTGCTTTCTAATGATGGCACAGGGCTTTCCTTTGGTGTCATCACACAGATGATTAATTTTGGTTTTTGCACCACAGATTTCTACATCTGGAAGTAAAACTGCAGCTTTAGATCAGGACAGAAATCACAGTAATTCAGCTGTTTGTGAGAATCACATCACAAACTACTCAACACAACTGATGTTACAAAGTTTTCCTTCAAATCAAAGGATCTGATTCAAATTAAAATTGGTTCAATATTAAAAATTATTATTACAATATGATTCGTCACACATTTAGAAATCAGGCGGTGTGTAAACTTTTACAACTTCAGTGTCCTGAAACTTTTGCATCTGCGTCTCAGACTCGTTCTGCTGAGTTTGCTGTTAAATGGATGAGACAGACTCATCTGGAGAAGAGATCGTTATGTGGCACAGAGCAGACAGGAACACAAAAACCACCAAAGACACTGTGCTGAAGTTTAAGGTCGGAGCTGCTGTGGCAGCTTTATGTGGATACGTGGCAGAAACAGGAAGCTATTAGAGGCACAGACCAAAACACCCACATGTGACTGCGAGACCTTCACTGACTGGTGGAAGCAGACGCCGCGGCTTCAGCTCATGTAGCACGTCAGACACTTCACGCTGGAGAGATCCTTGATGACCCAAAGACACGAGAAAGGTCGGCTTCAGGACGGCGTCTGGGACGGCGAACCCAGGCAGCGCAGCAGCTGGACAGCTTTCAGGAAACATTCACAATTTATGTGTTTTAATTCTTTATAAACAAGCGTTTTTTACAATGTACAACATCTGGTTTCTGTGAGCGGTGGAGCATTAAATAACACGTCAGATCTACTGGGAACAATGGAGGCCGGGGATCCTCTCTGAAGTCTCTTTTCTCATTGCTCAACCTGAACAACATCACATGATCAAAGCTTCACTGACAGCGTGTTTCAGGTCCTTCTGCAAATGTCTCCAGTCAGTGCTTCACTCATCATGTTTCTTTTCTTCTCCAGGTCGCAAACATGACGGAGAGTCCTGCAAACGTGACATTCGGTGACTATGACAACGGTACTGAGACATATATCGATGACGACGGCTTCTGCATCATGGATCCTGACGCCAGTGAGGTCATCACCCAGACTTTGATCCACTCCATCATCTGCGGATTCGGCCTGATTGGCAACGTCCTGGTGATGGTGACTTACAGCTTCTACAAGAGAACCAAGACCATGACGGACGTCTACCTCTTCAACATGGCCGTGGCCGACCTGATCTTCGTGGCTACACTTCCGTTCGTCATATACAATGAGCAGCACGATTGGTCGATGGGCAGGGTGGCCTGTAAGGTGCTCCGGTCGTCCTACAGCATTAACCTCTACAGCGGCATGCTGCTGCTCGCCTGTATCAGCTGCGATCGGTACATCGCGATTGTTCGGGCGACGCGCTCCTTTGGGACGCGCTCCCGTGCCCTCGTCTACAGCCGCCTGATCTGCTTGGCGGTTTGGGTGTTTGCAGTGGCGTTAACTCTCCCCACGCTCATCTACACTGAACCCTCTGAAGATAACTCCCCGGGGTCTGATCGCGTCACCGTGATGTGTCAGATGTCTTTCAACCAGACTGAAACTGCGGCTCTCGTGAAGCTGCTGGTACCCAGCCTCCAGATGGCTGTTGGCTTCCTGCTGCCACTGTGCATGATGGCGTTCTGCTACTCCTGCATCATCTACACGCTGCTGAGGGCGCAGAGCAACCAGCGGCACAAGGCCGTCCGGGTGGTGTTGGCGGTCGTTGCTGTCTTCATCGTCTGCCATCTTCCGTACAACGTGACCCTGCTGATCCACATGCTGTCTCTGTTCAAGCAGAGGAGCTGCGACGCCGAGAACCTTAAACTCAAATTTCTCAACATCTGCAGGACCGTCGCTTACCTGCACTGCTGTCTCAATCCCTTCCTCTACGCCTTCGTCGGGGTCAAGTTCAGGAACCACTTCCGCCAGATCATGCTGGACCTCTGGTGCTTCAGCAAAAGGTACATCTACACCGCTCGCTCGTCACGTGGCACGTCCGAGATCTGCATGTCAGGGCTGAAGTTGTCGGAAGGCTCCAACAACATGTCGTCATTCAGCGCTTAACACTTCAGCTATAAAGGGAAATCAGTCTGGTGCTCATCGCTCTCAAGCTTTGCTGTGAAACTGTGCTTTAATCATAGAGACTGTGAGATGTTCTCATCTACTGCATCCAGTTTATATGACACAAAACTGGACATCAAGTCCAACAGCTGTCCTCAGAAACACAGGTGACCACAGCAGCTTATTATCCATCAAACTAAAAACACAGCAGCAGAATCTCACGCTTTGACTTCACGTATTGTTCTTGTGATTTAGAAGTAACTGTGTCGTGCAGGTTGCAACTGTACTCTTTGCTAATGAAGTTTGATGCTATAAACCGCATCTCTAACTGAACTAAACATAATGTACTTTTTTTTAACGGGCAGGTTTGGATGTTTGGGGCATTGAGGTCGGTTTTCTGTGACATGAACATGTAAACACATAATCCTGCAATCTGAGAATGAAGCGCCCTGTTGGAATAATTTGGTATTACAGTCGAGGCGTTTATTCCTGTTCTCGTGTCACCAGCAGGAGCTTCTTTTTTGTGTATGATGATTAAATCTGCTGTTTTTAAAGATAAGAAGTTAAACTTCTTCATTTTCTGGATCTTCCCATAACTGTCACTTGAACCTCATCTTCTTTTCTTGAAGCATGCTGTACACCTGCCCTGCTGTTTTTAATATTTGGCATTTTGTAGACCTGTGTTTTGTTTTGTTTTTGCATTATCTGAATAAAACTGTATGAAAATATCAGGGTTTTAATCAATATTAATTATTAATTTAACTGGATGTGCCAAAAGTTTGCAGACTAAAATGTATTTTTAAGATATTGTGTGCGTGGTTTCTCTGTGGATAGATATCATCGTACAGTTCTGAGTATCATGTCTGAGAGGAAGTGGGTAACCCGAGCAGAGCAGCGGGCCGAGCAGGGGGCTCTGGGGAACACCACAGCTAAACTGGGCTTTGGAGAAACAGGAAGATGGGAAAGCTAGATGTAGATCAGATTAACAGTGAAAGGAGAAGTGTGGCAGCAGATTGTGACACCGTGTGCGGTTTCCAACAATGACTTTCTCAGATGTGCTGATAAGCAGAGGTTTCACAGGCTACAGCACAGATAGTGTGCTCAATAATCCAGCTGTTTCATGCTCCTGCAGCCTGCTGTGGAGGACAGGGACCTCTGCACAGGTTTTTGGAAGCACACATAAAACATTTTATTGAGCACTGATGTGTGAGTTCATGTTGTACCTCACATGTCATTGTTTGTGCCACGTAAAGGCCTCAGGACAGGAAATGACACATGAAGCTGTCATTAATGGAGAAATTATGATCACTGGAGCAGGAAACTGTGTCTCTAATACACTAAATTAGTTTCAATCAAACTCTGTGCTGGCGTTTGTAGTTCCTCTGCAAAGTTTCCATAGAGATAAAAAACACTGAGGACAAAGCTGCCGTACTGACCAGAAAAATGTGTAAAACCTTTAAAAAGTATCACAAAGTGTTAGACTGTGTGTTTGAACAGCTGTACCTCAGACATAAAGCACTCTATCAAACGCTGGCTGACCTAAAACTGAAACTCCAAACTGTGTCAGTCACTGCTCCAGAAACCTCTATAACAACAAGATCAGTCCACGCTTGAACAATGGCAGCGCTCTGCTGGAAGCTGCTGCATCAGCATGAACTGTGAACACATTACTACAGTACAGGCAAATGTGCACTAGTAACACTGTTGAATTATTACTGTTAAAGTTTTACCCATAGCTTCTCAATCCTTACACGGTCACATAACTACATCCAGGCTTTGTTTGTTCGATCCAGACAAAGGTGACTGCGTCTGTGTGACCTGTTATGTGAATACAGCCGTGTGGGAGCCACAAAAACCCTGAATCTCAAATAAAAGCTCATAAAAATATTTCTACGACCATCAAACAGGTAAAACAACAAACAATTAAAAGAGCATCATTTCACCAACTGTATGGAAACAAAAAACAACCGAAGCTAAGATTTACTGGAGCGAACGTCACAAATCAGACGACGCTTTCATTACGCTCCGAACCGCAGACATTTCACGTTCGATAAACTACAACATGAAGCGATTCCACAAAACTGCTACGACCCTTCTGTGAGGCCTCCACCTTGGACACCAACACAGAGCCGTTCACATCAAATCGCCATTTCCAGCCCAGTTAGAGAGTCGCAAATTGTAGTAAATTTTACAGCACATTTTTCTCACCTTGCAACTTTTGACTTGTGGGACTGATGTAAATGTAGTGACGTTACTGTGATTCTACTGTCAGCCAAGCAAATCAGCCAATAGAAGCCGAAGTTCAGCCTATTTAATCAACTCTGGGGCACAACGTCAACCATCCCATCATACTGAGAGTGTTGGTAATTCTTCAAAAAAATATTCAAACAACAAACATTTTTTAGGCCTGTAAATAAAGTTCAATCATTTCTGCTGTTCAACAGAAATTCCTACTCACAGATGTGTCACAATGTGCCAAACGCCGGCCTGTGTCCTCATTAAACCCACTGTGTAATTTCTGTGTTTGCACAGATGATGCTCATATGTGGTTTCCTGGAGTTTATTGTCCACTGTGCATATTTTCAAAGAGTTTATAACCAATATAATACAAACAAATTAGGTGATAAAAAAATATTCTTACTTCTTTTTGCTCCAGCCTTGGTAACTTTGACACAGTAACTTCTGCTGTAATAGTTACACCTCTAAAGAAATCTCACAAGCGTTCGCTTTACTTTGATACCAAGATGTTTACACAGAGTCTGTAATTGCAGGGAAATACATGACTGGAGCACATGTAGAATTGACGGCTCCTTTTTCTTTTTCCACTGCTTTGCTTCTAACAAGCAGACACATGCACTGTAGAAAAACGCAGCTGCAGCCACTGCGGGCTGTCCGCTTACATGCATACATACATACGACCACCAGGGGGCAGGATAGGACCATTACTGCATGCCTAGCTTTGTTGGTAGTTTCAAATTCAAATTCAAATTCAAATTTTATTTGTCACGTACACAGTCATACACAGTACGATATGTAGTGAAATGCTTGGACAACTGCTCGTGACCTGAAGAAAACAAAAAAGGAAAAGGCTATGAATAAGATAGGAAATAAATATGAAAAATTAAAAAGGGTAAATTTAACTAGGAAGGAATAAAATATAAATTAAGGTTAAAAATGAAATAACTGTACAACACAAATTAGAATGAAGGGTAAATTTAACTGGGAAGAATAAGATAAAATATATAAATTAAAGTTGAAAATAAAATAACTGTACAACAAAATACACAATACACAATATAGAGCTATATAAGAATGTATGAAGAAATCTAAATATAAATAAATATATACACAATAACAGCAGCTGTACAAGTATTAACCGGAAATGAAGAACATAGTGACCAGTGTTGTGCAAAAACAAAGTCCAGAATGTCCAGTGTGTGTAAGAACTGTATGTGTGGGTCAGTACTGTGTGGTGGTGTGATTGAGAGACCGTATCGCCTGCGGGAAGAAGCTCCTCCTCAGTCTCTCTGTGTTGGTCTTCAGGGAGCGGAGTCGCTTTCCTGACCTCAACAGAGAGAACAGTCTGTTGTTGGGATGGCTGAGGTCCTTCATGATCTTCCTGGCCTTGGTCCAGCACCGCCTGCTGTAGTGCAGGTCAGGGAGCTCGGAGCGGATGGTGCGCTCAGCTGACCGCACAACCCTCTGTAGAGCTCGTCTGTCCTGCATGGTGCTGTTCCCGAACCAGGTTAAGATGTTTCCCGCCAGGATGCTCTCTATGGTGCACGAGTAAAAGTTCCTGAGCACCTTGGAGGGCAGTTGGAAGTCTCTCAAGCGTCTGAGGTGGTAGAGATGCTGTCTGGCTTTTTTCACCACGGTGTTGATGTGACAGGACCATGACAGGTCCTGCGTGATGTGAACTCCGAGGTATTTGAAGCTGTCCACTCTCTCCACTGGGCACTCGTTGATGACGGGGGTCTGGTAGTTCCTCTCCTGCTTAGTGCTGAAGTCCACTATCAGCTCCTTTGTCTTACTGACGTTTAGGAGGTTGTTCCTCTGGCACCAGTTCTCCAGATTCCTAATCTCCTTCAGGTCGGCTGTCTCGTTGTTATCAGAGATCAGACCCACCTGATCATGGATGTGAGGAGCGTCTACGCAGGGAACGGCAGCGGTCTCTGCGGTCAGGACTCACAGCATCAGCTGATTTATGAGCATCCACCTCTCGTCACAGAAATGGCAGCTTGTAAAACGTTAGCATGTTGACTGAGAGAGCCCATCAGCCCCGGGCTCATTCCAGATGACTCGTTTTATGTTTTTCAGTTATTATGGATGAGCTGAGATAGATAGATACCTCAGGGCCTCAGAGAGGTCTCTCCTGTGCGGCCTTTTCATGAGGAACGTCAGAACATCTGGTACCTGATAACGAAAGCACTGGTTTCTCTCTTACAGCTGAGTGATTCTCCCAGGAGTCGTCACTGACGCATCGTGGGGGCTCATTTGGTTATCTGTGAGCTTTAACTGGAGCTGCACTGGTCCTAGTTAGCAAATCTACACCTGGTTAAATGAGACAAATCACAGCTAATAACACTTTGAGTTCCTTTGCTGGTTGATTAGAAGTTAAATTTGGAGACGTGCAACATTTCTTACACGGATTACAAAAGTGAAGCCAGTGCCATAGTACCTTAAACCTGTATTTTTCTCTCATGTCCAGCAGGGGGCGACTGTGCTGTAAACAAAAATGCAATTTTTGAAGTCTTTCAATGGTTTTTTTAGACATTGGCTGTTTTTCACTCATTTCCAGATGTTGTTCACTTGTATCTGAACGTTTTCAGAGGAGTGTTTTTGAGCTATGAATCATTCCAGTGTGTGAATGTGTGTGTGAATGGGTGGATGACTGAATGTAGTGTAAAGCGCTTTGGGGTCCTATGGACTAGAAAAGCGCTATACAAATGCAGGCCATTTACCATGTGTCGTCACAGCTTAGCAAAGAGCTGCATCTTTGGCCTCTTTGTCATCAGCAGCCTGTCACACAAACACATTTATTCACCGTTCTTTAGTCGCATTTTTAAAAAATCCCAAAGATAACACAGTGAAACAGCATTTTTTTTGCACCAACAGGGTGATTCCTGAAGAACTGAAAACTTGTGGAGAAAAGGCCTGAGAACAATTATCTACAGCTGACGAATCTGAAAGTACGTTCTTTAGAAAAGAGCAAAAGATCCAGCAGAAATCTGACGGAGGCCCTGAGAGATGATCTGGACCTTCAGCCGATCATCTTCTGTTCACTGAAGCCTGGGTTAATGAACCCTAACCCCTGACCCCTAACCCTAGCTTCATCAGAAACTCTCTCAGTGAAGGACGGCTGTCAGCAAGTCAATCTTATTGAAGGGAAACCGGAGCAAAGGCTGATGTATGAAAATGACACAAGAACTGGACTGAAGATCCAAGGAACAGGTCTGACGGAGAGATGGATCCACACCCTGGTCCTTACGTTTGAGGTCTGCTGTGTGTACACCACAG